CTGTCGTCTGCACGTTGGTGCCTTAAAATAATAAGTCTGTCTACCCGACCTTTCTTCCGGATCTGCATTAAGCTTGGAAAAGGTCACCAGATCAGCACTGTTCCGAACTTTCCCAGAACTGTTATCTATCTCAAGGGTCTGAGGACCAGGTCAGCGGACAGCATTTTATTTTTTGGATTAAGTTCGCAGGTAGCCTAATAAATTGTTGTTCGCTGAGGTATGGTAAACGGTTGTGAATATGTAAATTTTGAACACAGTTTTAAGCAATTTGCAGTCAGCGAGGTTCTTTGACAGCATCTTGTAGATCCGACAAAACTCCCAGCTCTTTCCTCGAGAAAGCCTTCACCTGTTGATTGCCGCTAAAGCACATTTTGTCAGGAGATTCTGACTGTCTACCTAACCTTACAACACTTCCGGTACGTCCTTGCGAAAAATGCTTCCACATATTCCCAGATTTTGGGCCCCTTTCTGTTGCTCTCAAATACTACTCGGTCAAACTCATCCCCGGCAGACGTATACATTGGATTCTAAGTCACTTTAGTTAGTTTATCACCCATGATTAAATACAGCAGTAACATCCATTTTTAAAGCATTAATTCTGGAATTTGCGGTAATCTGTATACGTGAGTCTGGCGCTAACACCGGTGACCGACATAATCTGGACAATATGTACAGCCGTTTCTTAGCAGCATAACATTTGTCTATGCTTAAATTTTTGAAGCGTCCAAAAACACCATCTCAGCAGAAGTTCGTTCTAGGCCCCAACGATCCCTTGGGAAAAGGTGTTCTCTCAGACGTCCGTATGAGCTAATGTCCTTTAATGAGATGAATATGCTGGAAGTCTGTCCCAGCTCTTTTGAAGATAAAGCCGAACTCTAGGGTATATTATCAGTCTTCAATAATCCGGCTGCTCTGAATAAGGTCATCGCGCAGTTGCCTACAATTTAAAGGCAACAACCAGCCAAACCCACTTTGTAAGGCAGATGACCAACATTCTTCACTATCATCAAAAATCTCGACGCAATCCATCCAGAGGTTGCTAATTCTTCTCGATCCATGGACAAAAACAAATTCCTCACAGCTTTTATAAACAGCTCCTTATACATTTGCACAAACGCCGCTTCAGCTTGAATAGCATATGGTTTGCGCATCTAGATGCCTTTAAACGCTGTGCTAACAGTTTAAGAATGGAGTTTATTATAACTCAGAAGCCCTTCTGTTCCTCAACAGCTAGAAGAGGTTGTCCATAAAGAAGGTATCGGAAAGAATAATCATTCTCACCAGCCCTTTTATTACGGAGTCTTAGGATCACATACTTACTACATTAAAATGTAAAAGCAAACGAACAAGTTACTCATTTGATTAAGACGCTCTTGAAGGATGTGTCCATCTGCGTTGGACCGGATGGATCTCCACACTTTTATATCATCAGCAAACATGACGTAACTGCAGTCAATGTTGCGGACGCAGTTGTTGATAGATGTCCTGGGACTGGGCCGTGCGGAGCACCATTTAAAACAGAAGTAGGGAAAGAACTCGAACAACCAATTTTCCCAGCTTTTCTTACAATGTCGCAAACCGTGTAAATTAGTATTTCGAGTTCATTCCCACTTCTCATTCTAAGGCACCAACGTGCACCTGGCAGACAGGCATTTGAGATCGAAAGTAGATAGTGTGGCAAAGTACGTTTTGAGTTCCATCGTAGTCATTCAAGCATTTTTGAGAATATCTCCAGAAAATTCTCAGTCTACGAGTCGACACATGTGTTTGACATATGAGACTTTAGCTGCGAGTATCCCATCGCTAGAAAGTCATCAGCAGAAATCATGCAGGCTCCACCTACCGACCGTTTAGGTAGAATCCGATTTTTTACCGGAATGGATTAGGCCTGACGAAGAAAATGTTCACTTTGAATTCTTGCGTACCCATCCAAATAATTCACAGCTTAAGTATGTTCGATGACGATAGCACACGGTATATAAATACTACTTATTTACAATGACTGTTAGGAATTTGTCTGCACAGAACATGAATTAAAACTTCGAATTTGGTTTTGTTTTGGTTGCACGTACACAGGATGGAAGACATGTGAGATTTTTTGAGATATTTGTTTCTGAATGTTAGTTTACTATTGACCTTTTCTGACTTGTGCCATAGCAAATTGGGACCCGCGTGCTTTTCGACCTGCCAGCTGACAACGCGTGATCTTTATTCCTTTTTCTTAATACTTCTTTGAAATATGGAACCCGTGTTTGTCTTTTTAGTTGTGACTCTCATAGAAGATAAGTTGTAAGGTGTAAAGATGACAAAAACGCGAGTTAACTCCACAAAGATAATTCTAGAAAATACTCATGCTATGTGGCCAGAATACCTACCCAAATTTCATAATGTCGGCCCAGTTTAAATATGGGGATTTATCTGTTTTCCTTTATCCTTTTCAATCGATGCATAATGACATCTGCGCCTTTTGAGAAACTGGATATTGGAAGGTTTATTGTTACTGATTTTGAGGTCATAGCACACCCGTCGACATGACTACATGAATCACGTGGTTGCCGCATTTTTGAAGGGCGAGCGACGAACGGACGAACATACACCATTTATTTAAGAGCCAAGGCAAAGTTTGAAGCTTGCCATCATTAAAAGGTGCATAAAGATTGAAACGCCTTAAAAGTTATTTTCATGCTCGATCACTTTTTTTAAATTTTTATGTTGGTCATTCTAAAATTATGATCGATAAAGATTTCGAAGAACAGCTTTGATCTCAGAAAATTCAGCAAATGTAAACATCTGTTGATATTGCGCCCGAATTGAAGGTTTAATAGTGATATGTTTATTCAAAATATCTTTCAGTAGCAAACTTGAGGAATATTTAGGAGGAACCTGAACGATCGTTTTAATTAAATCGATCGTTTTATAAAACGCCAGCATTGATACGATCTGATTAGATCCGCTGTGTTACTCTGTCCCTGAATTGCGTGCACACAAACTTGAGCACCGAAATCGTGCGCATGCGAGAAATTTCTCCGGAATATTCATTATCTCGGTATCTCATATGAAAACGCATTTCGAAATGCGTCTTCATACGAGATTATGCTGACTCAGTTGAAATTGCACGAACATGAAAGGATAATATTACATGTTTTGTTGTTAAAAATCGCTTTTTTCGAGTGTTAGTTAACGCGTATACTGTATTTTAGAGTGATTCACGGTGGTAAGCGGCATGCAATGTAAAATGTGGGTTCCATCGGCGGTAGATCCTGAAACAACTGACTACCAGTTTCCACCTAATTTATTTCTACTTTGTTTCCTCCTCCACCAGATGTTCTGAATTCTACAGTAAAGTATGTATAAAAACTACAGCCAGAATGTTTTTGGCTTTAAAACCGAGAGTTTACTTCAATGAACCCTATTCGAACGTTGAATGATGTCCTTAGTTCCCTTGCCCATGTTATATATTTTTTGAAAATTTCATGATTTTTATGTAAAATCAGTGCGACAAAAAAATAATATTGTTGTCTCCGGTATTTTTTGACGATTCAAGACTAATTGATTAACTAAGGTAAAAAAAAGTAAACGATACATGTAAACGTACTCAGAGTTAGAAATAGTATTATATTTCTTTAGTGGAGAAGGTAGTTTATACAACTAAAACCACTTCACATACACGAACATAAATTGTTTGTTGAGGCGAGGTATCGTATGCGCAAAGATTAATTACAGTGTTCATGCATACTATCCACACCGACATGGGCTAAACAGTAACTGTTAGGTCTTTCACCTCTCCAAATGGCCTAAACCTGAGCCTTAAAAATTAACACAGGTCTTCTCCTTTTTATTTGAACTAAAATCGTCTAAATAAAATGTACCTTAGATTCAAATAAAAAGTGGAATCGATGTTCCATGGAGTTGAGTTGATATTGAACGTGCCTTAAACAGTGATGAATAATAATACTCACTTGCGGCTAAGAAAATCAAGTCTCAACTCTACAGAAACACGAGAGTTCCAGTCATTTAGGAAATCGTTATTTTTTTTCCTTAAACAGCAAACAAATCGATAACCATCTTCACTATCTTTTTTATTTTTGAGAAGAACACGTAACAAAAACCATTCCAAAGTCCACTTCCAAATATCCTTAAATCTAACATAACAAAGTAATTTATCTTTCCTAAATGATTTTCAACTAATATGTCTCCTTTAGGACACAGGTGAGTTTCTTCCACTCAGGTTACTCCATAGTTCTGAGGATGGTAGATAATGCTATTCATTTTTATTTGCAATCTACACATTTGCGTACGCATGCTATGTACGCGCCGCTTCTAAGTTGGATCCGCCCAGACTGAATTATTATTATGCCTTAAGTGAATTTTATAAGGAGCCTGCCAATTTAAACATACTTTGCACGGCTTTTGAAGATGTAAGAGGCCGAGATACAATCGGCTTGGGTTTCAAACATGTTCTAAAGCAATTTGCTTTTTTTAACAGTGTGCATCAATTAACGTTTTATTAACAACGTAACTTGGAAGAATTTGACATTCAATCAACCCTACTTAATGACACAACGGTAGTACTCATCCATCTGATCGACATCCGAAGTGGCTCACGTACAAAAATCATTTAAGATGTACGGTAAAGTCCAATAAACCCGGTATAATTGACTATTTCCATAAAGATCATACCTTATATCAAATATTCTGTCGTTTCTCCTCCGCCTTACTCAATTCCATATATAAAAAATAGAATTACAATTGAAGCTTGAAGGCTAGAGAACCAAAAACTTGCATATCAGTGATCGTGGTTAGTTAGGCAGATAAACTAAATTGCATATTAATTGCCATATGTGTACTGCGTAGACAGGTTTTACGTCTAGGTCGGTGATTTTTCGCTTAAAAATATTTAGCTATAACTCTGCTATTTCATTTTGTATTAAACAGAAGACTAGTAGGTCATGATTTCAAGGTGATGTGTCTTTTCCACATCTAACCGTTTAGATTCGCCCATGGCCGAAGGTGGGAAAAAGGCAAAGGGAAAGGGAAAAGCTCCGAAACCTGGAGCCAAGGTGAAGCAAATAATTATTTCACATTACTCATTTTATTCCAGCAAGATTCACCTCTAGTAAAGCTACTGAAGGCCTGCCTAAAGGAATATGATGCCAAGTGCATTCAATTTGAATGTTCTCCATGCGCAACCATACGTGATGCACTTCGGTTAGGAATTGACGAGGAGAAGCCAATATATAGTGTATGTTTACAGATTCGAGCTTCTTAAGCCAATAACCTGAAATATTCTTGACAGTTTGTGATGGATCCCAAGGACCGCCGAAAAGTAGAGTACTGGAATGACAAAAAATTTACAAAGTACTTTGAGGAGGGTGGAGAAGAGGGTTTGGCCGCACGAAAGAAAAAAAAGAAGAAGAAAGTTTCGAAACCCGAAAAACCACTGGTCAGACTCCTCCCCTTCATTGACACCCTTCGCAATCATCGTTATTGTCAGATCAAAGAACTGCTTGTATGGGATGTTTATGTAGATCATAGTGACATGATGTGTCTGGTAATTACGCATATTAATGAGACACATTTTTAGGCAAGCATGCTTACCAAGGGTTGCTATGATATGGAGATGATTGAACTGGTAGACTGCTTTATTAATCAAAAGGCCCTAGATGTATTTGCCCCAAGTGTCAACCATACGCGGACGCTTTCCGACTTGATTCTGGACTTCAATGAGTAGACAATTTATAAAAAAGCAATTTCACATCTTTTCAGGTTCGGCGACAGTGGCTGTCAGGTTCTATGTGAAGGCCTCGCCAACTGTCACTGGCTTATCCGCCTTAGTCTTTGTTTCTGTGATTTACACAAGCAAAGCGGAATATGGCTGGGAAATTTGATTGCGGAAACATCGATCAGGTGAGTCAATGATGCTCCTTGTTGAAGATTATTAAAACTTTTTGCTGTTTCACAGGCGAGCTCTCATCTAACAGAACTTAATTAATGAACTGCAAAGACGCCCATTTCTAGTCTTTACTTCTAGATAACATCCGGCCATAACCCAAGTGGTGGTTGTCTGGAGTCACAGGACAGCTGTGTTTTGAAAGTAACTTATTTTGCAATCCGTTACTAACTAAAAACACGTAATACATACAGGTTGACCAGCTTAATTTCTCAAAGTCGCTGCGATAGCTCTATGCCCTCCACATTCGTTTCAGTTTTCTTTCGGTTCAGTGGCCGTTTTTGGGTCGATCGGATCTATTTACGTGAAATGGAAACTTAAACAGATATCTTAACTTATTAGAAGTTAAGGTCTTTCTCATTTCTGAGTTTGCAGTAATCGCAGGTTTTGCTGGTAAGTTTAAGGGAAGTTCCAATAGTCAGTTCTGGGTTATCAGCTCTCGCCAGTCAGCTGTGCCCTGTTTGGAAACATACACAATTAATTTCAGACTGCTGATTTACTAGAAGGGCTCCCTTTACTATAAGCAGCTCATTCAAACCATTGCTGTTTAGGTAGGGCTAGTCGATCACCCAGTACTCTACCCTGCGTGAGTAATATGGAACTCTCAGACTCCCCCCAAGAGAATGGATCAGATTGGTTGGCCACGACAGCGACCCAGTGTCAATACAAAAGTAAAGATGACCGGAGATGGGGGAGGGCGCAGGTGGCTGGCACGGCGGCCCCATAATGCACGCCATAACAACACCGTGATAGGCTCTCGCTTACAGGGAGTGCCATAAAGGCCACATTAAAAAGGAGTCATTGCAGCCTGGCTCTCGGTCCACCAGTCATCAACTCTACACTGCAAGACATGCTCTGGACTGACTGCGCAGTCCGAGTTGGCAACCCTCCAAGATGAGTACACACACGTGTGCACGCGCGTGCATCAATGCGCTGTACTTATGCTAACGTCCACATCGGCTATTCCAGATGTCCTGAAATGTCAAAGACGATAGTCTCACAGACCGTGCATGCGTTTCGACCGACTTTACAGTAGCTATTTATCCTATTCAGTCCATTCAGTCTATTCACCGTTACACAGCTGTCTTACACCTCTCAGACACGACAGGTCGACCTTCGATACCGACGACG